ACGTCATCATTGACCACCATAAACAATGACAAATCGAATCGCACAACAATTACAAAACCACTCCAAATATTCAGCAATACTGACATATTTTGTTTTTTTTCCTATAACAATTTGCATTACGCAAGTGTACCTACCGTTTGAAAAATTGGTTTGGTTTTATGAATCCATGATAATGCAACATTCTAAAGATGAAGAAAAACAATTATAGCGAAATGTAATAAAAGCTTTACTTTAATAAAAATCTGAGAATCAAAATTTACTTGAGGTGAATGCACTTGGAATTTCTTCGCTAACGGCCATTCGATTGCAAAACTTACATTAAATCTTGAATTTATAGCAAACAGTTACAATATATAATTTATTGTATAAGTGTTGCCCGTCGCCGTCCAATTATCTTTTATTTACTCCTGTTTATTTATAGCTCAATATAAGGGCAATACTCTAGCGAGGACGATCACATTAGGGGGTCAGCATATTGACGCGACAAACAACAGATTTGTACTTGAATCGGTTTATATGAATAGTTCGTTTCCTGCGCACGCATTGCCGTTCAATCGACCGTAAGCACGGTGACTGATAAGGGTCAATGAATTGACCCAAAGTACGTCTGTCGAATATGGACTTAGAGGCGAAATGTTTAAAAGCTATTTTTTTAAAACGCGTCAATACTGTTTGCCCGTCATTGATGACTGGTCCTTCTATCACAAATCAAACTCGTGGTTGACAGCCCTACAGATACGATCAGGAATGCCTGATCGATGATTCAGTGATCTATTCAAAGATACAAGATTCGCAGTTGATGCGTAATCTGGAATAGTTCTCGTATACTTGTGTATGAAATAAAACAAAGATGAAATCATACATAATTGATTCGAAGAAAGGAAAGGTCACATAAAAATCGACTGATTAAATAAACGAGCGGCGGAAATTATTAACTTTTTACAGGAAAAAGGACAGTTATAAAACACAATCTTATAATTTAACTTGAATGAAGGGAACTCTTTTGAACTAAAGTTATCTTTAAATTTAATTTAAAAATTAAACTTTCTCTCTTTCTCTTTGTGATGATATAACGATAACTTATAAACGTATATTGAGTGATGCAGTGTCATTTTAATCATTCTAGGTTTCCGCTTTTAAATTTCTAGACAAACAAAGAACAACCCGATTCGCAATCAAACTAGTTATTTTAGTAACGTCTACTATGGATTTATTGGCGGTTAACACTTTCAATAGGTAACGACCCTTTTGAAAGCTTGTGTCCATGATCAGTCGGTGCTGCCGTGAAAGACGATGCGATGTATGTAATAAAATCAATAAATTAAAATCGTGAAGCCACATAAAAAAATCTAGGTATTGTAAACTAAGCAAAATGAACATGCAAACACTAATTGCAAAAAAACTCGACAAATATCCACCTCAAAACTCAATAACGAAGATTTCAGTGATAATACGAGAAACAAAAAAAAGGCTAAGTGGATTTCACAAAAAAAGAATCCGGTTTCACGTGAATCTAGCTAGTAAGGAAGTTACCTACGTCATGCCTACTTCGAATCAAAGAATAAAATTCATAATGTTAGTTTATATGCTTTCCAACATTATTATAATAGATGAACTACTCGACTTATAAAAGCCAGTTACTATTCAGCTGAAATACACAGTAAGTAACGCCTTTTATACGAAATACCCAGCGGTCGATGCGAATAGGGACGACTTAAAACCTCTTAAGGGAGAATGACCCTTTAAGGAAAACGATTTTCTCGTTGCGAGGGTAGGGGGTTACTCGGATGGACAAAGAGGCCAAGCAAACATTACTAAGAACCAATTGTTATTTGGTTTCATAATGATCAGTCGCTTAACTGATTGGTTGGGTAATAAGTTAAAAAACATGTTAAAGAAATAATAATATACTCGTATTTTGTAATAATAATACACTTTGGAAATTGATATAGCGATGACGATTTTTGGACAACAAAACGTTTATATCGGCAAGTTCAACCAAAGAAAATGTGCCTCATAATTTCGAAATGTTTAAACACACTAATTTAAAATGAATACCTACCAGTTTTCAACTGTACGTGTACAATATAAAAATTCAAAACTATCCCAAATTTCGTTTAAATATATATTCGTGAGCAACCAGACGACGAGGAGCTCGATGACGCAAGTGGTTAGCGCGTTCGGCTGCGATCGTTGACATTAAGCAACTTTCGCAGTGGTCGGTCATTGGATGGGTGACCAATTAAGCCGTTGGTCCCAGCTGCATATGCAGTCGTTAGCACCCGCCAATCTGCACTGGGCCCGCATGGTGGGTCATGGCCCAATTTCCCTATTCCATCCATAGGGAAGGCCTGTAACCCAGCAGTGGGGACATTAATAGGCTGATGTTGATGAACCTGACGATTACAATCGTATCGTGGGTCTGCCCATGAATCACAATCAACGAATGCACGGCACACTATGATTGCAAACTACACCGTACAATCGATACGTGGGTGTAAAGTAGCTTTAAATGCTACCACATATCGTTTAAAGATGCGACCTACTTTTTTAACAATATATAATAATAACCAAGGCATATTAGATATAACGTATCTTTAAAAATATAAATGAATTGCATTTTGAAAGCGACTCATGCGCTTATCAGAGCAATGATAGCAAAAAAAATATATCGAAATATCAGTACATTCTTCATTAGATTTACTAATTGCTCTGCTAAATCGGACTACCGCAATTCTATATAAATAAACATCTAAATATCACTTTCATGAGTGCGAACGAATATCTTAATTTAACCTCTCTATCTCAACATCGCATCTCTCAACTCTCCAAAAGTGCCGTCACTTTCATCCTGAAATTATAATATGTACTAATAAACAGGTCAATTCATTTGAATGTTTGTTCTCTGCTCTAAGGATTCTTAAATCACTGATTAAATTGCGATAAAAACTGTGCGCATGAAAAAAAAAACACGGCAAAATTTTCTTAATTTTCAATATGATTGTCCAGGTGCTCAGTAACTAAGACTAGAACAAAAGTGAAAATTTAATGATACAATCACGTGTCAAATTCTATTAGACGTTTTCGATTAGCCCCAAGTTCAGCACGAAAGACAAGAGAATGACAAGCATTATAATCTCGCCTCGACGCTACCTTGTTAAGTAATGTACTGTTGAAGTTTGTCGAATAATGAGGACGTAAATAACAATTTAGCTAAGTAGATTTAAAATGAGCTTCCTCAAACGAGTAACTAATACTTGCAATGACTCAACAAACAATTTGATAATAAGTACCATGTAATAAATAGATGCGCGTTCCAGCTGAGTAACGGTAACAACGTCGTAATTTCAGCTTTGCGATTAGAACAATAAAATTCTGAAGTACCTTTATGGGAGGGAGAGAAACATTTCATGAAAGGCGGATAATTTCATACGGTATCCAAATTGTTCCAATTATAGATATTAACCGAATCGCGGTTTACAGGCACGACACACCTGATCACGGATTGGAATACGCATTTAACGTTTAATTAGCTTAGAGTCCCTCGTAACATTTCTATTTCAAGAGTGTTACGTGTTGATTCAAGTTATGTTCACAGTTTAGGTTCAGTGTACAAGGTATACTGACACTAATGAAAAATTAAACAGCTTAAGCTTTATTTTAGCAATGAAGTTAATTAGTTGCTAACTATGAAGGACTGACTCACCTTACTAATTAAAATAATTTACTGAATAATTTGTATACTGATTTAAAATCATAGACATTTTTTTTTTCTAAACACATACATGTACTAATTCGTTATGAAATTTTTGAACTATTTTATTCCATAAAACTCAATTAACCGACAAAAGAATCGATACACGATAGTTAACGTTTGGCATCATTCAGAGGTAATTCAATTCCCGCATGAATTTAGCAGCTGTTTATCTTATTCCGTTGTAGGTACAGCAGTAATTAGTAATTAAAATCACTGGAGCGAAAGTGCAAATGTGTTTTGCGTGTTTTTAAAATTGGCTAGGTCATGTTCATCTGGAGACCGTTTATCCGATCACAAGATTCGACGGTGATGTGTAACATTGCTATAATAATTCAAGTGTTAACAAATCTATAATAGTAGGTACATAAGTAATTCACACCGAGGTGACAAAACGACCCCAATGGGAAACGTCACAGAGTCAGCAAACATTTTGTTAGCAGTAATCTCAGGCTGTAGTTATATGTCTGCTTTATGCCGAAACTTCACATCGCTATTCGTATTTGATGTTTGCCATTTTGGCAGCAGGTTGTTCTTATCGTACTCTGTAGAGAGTAAAACCGAGTGACTGTTGCAAAGTTTACAAATAACAGATACGAATAGCCATGCGAAGTACCGGCATTAGACCAAGTATCGTTTGTTTCCACTTCGAATTATTTGTTTGTTTTACATAATCTCAAAGATAATCTGGTAACAACAAATGTTGAAAATATTAACACAAAAAAATAAGTTTTCTGAATGTTTGGTCATCAAAAGAGAAATGTATTGAAAACCTATGTGTGTTCACCAATTGGTCAGTGCATTCGCCCAGATTGCGAAGGGTGCGGGTTCGAGTCCCGTCTGCTGCCTGGCTCGCGTGGATTTTTTTTCTAGTTATATTTTCTTTAGATTTAAACATCAAGCAGTTACATGCTTTAAAAATAAGAAAAATTATAACCTATATGTGTGTTGTAATGTAATTCCAGCCCCCCTAGCATGAGCACCGCGATATGATATATAACGTTTTTATCACGCTCAATTCTCAAATTACTATGGAGTTTAACAGTTAGACGCGATAAAAAACGTGATATAAAGTAAATTGAGGAGCTCATGCTACGGGGACTGATACAAGCTTGTGACGTTACAATATAGATAGATATGAAACACTTCCTAAAAAAAATTACATTTGGTTTTAGTTTCTTGCTGATGCGAATAAACACCGAATTGCGACGACTTTGTTTTGTTAAAATCACAACAGCATACTCACATAATCTACCGAAACTAAGGGACAGTCGCTTTCTGAGCTTTTGCATTTTACTCATAGCGCCGCCCCTTTTTTCTCTCATTGTCACGCCTGAAACAAACAAATAAATATATATTAATAAACAGATAAGTAATTATTATTATATTTTAATTAAGTATATTATATCTGTCGATTTCCCAATTGTAGCAGACGTGGCAGCTTTCCCAATATTATAAATAACGCGTATCTCTCAATGATTTTATACGGGTTGCTTAATAATAATTGTAACGATGTACTTAATTAATTGGGAGAAGTTATAAGGTGCAGTCACGCTACCCTCCCGGTTCGGAATCAGTCTGTACTCTGTTATACCGATATTGCAGGGCTTAACAAGTGATCGCATGCACGCGAAAATTATCCGCTTCAATTAACTAAGTAGGGGAAATGTTTATTAATAGGAATTTGTACACGGCCGGAATATAACTATTGTTTAGTATAAGCAAATGGGAAAGTGTTAAGTTATGTGGAGGTGAAGCTAGCTGTGTGAACAACCGGAACAATAGAGTTATGTAAAACACCAACCGCTGGTGTACAAATAAACAAACAATCAATTTGCAATCTTTACGGAATGTGTAACTGTCTTGAAAGCATGACAATTACAGTTAGGTCAACATCGTGTTAGTTTTTGTTTTATGTTTGACTACATTAACCTGACTTAAGGGCCATTTACACGATGCAAGTTTCTTGCCTGTTGTATACAATTAAATTGTAAATATCTTGCATGGTCTAAAAAATTCATAACATTCTTGATGTGGTATACAAGTTTTGCTTTAAAACTTTTCTTAGTGTAAATAGCACATACAGTAATTTCGTAATCATTTCTTGTTTTATACTCTTGTACTCAATTCTTGGATTATTTGCAAACATGAGTGCAGTAAGTGATGGTGTGTTAATATTGAGAAAATGTCGTAAAAAACAATCATTTAAATTACAATTATATCAAGAATGTTTGGAATTGTAAACATTATCAGTAGGTACCGGAACGGTGATCTTTTTCCATTTCTCATGATTTGCATCCTTAAATGTATCGAAACTTAGTTCCTTTTCGGTCCTCACTGGGCTCATTCCGCTCTGGTGAATAGGATAACTTTTTATGGAATAGGGAGATTGAGCCGTCTCGTCACGCGGGCCGAGCGTGGATTGGTGGGTTATATAAATATTTTTATCACATCTATTCGAAGAGCTAGTTTGTTCTCTATTTACAGGGACCAATATAGCTTTTAAGGGACAAAAAGAGCTTTCTAATTATTATTTTCTCCCTGAGTAAATAATCTTCTTTGCCAAAACTGGCATTCAAATACATTTTTTACATGTCCGTGTGTAAAAACGCTAATAAGCTTACAATTCTTGAAAGTCAATTATTGCACCTCATTAATTGTATGCAATTATTGCTCTTGTGTATGTACAAGAAAATTGCATCGTGTAAATGGCGCTTTAGAGACACTTTAGATACAAAAACTTTTTTTTACACAAGCAAAACCTCTATTTTCAGATACTGACGCCCTTGAGGGGCACACTAGCGAATGTACCTCACACCTAGAATCTCGCAAGTATCACGGGTGCGAAACGGAGAAACCGTTAAGCAGTCCGCCCGGCTTAAGAGCGCGTCCAGCACTCCGGCATAATATGCACTAAGGCGCTTTGCAGACGACGGGTCGGGGCGGGCCGGTCAATTTCGCCGCGAACGATAGCACAAAGTGAATCCTATATTACAAACGCACACAGAGGGCAAAAAGACCGCGCCGCAGGTGCCCGGCGGGCACTGGCGTCGCGGCATGTCCGCGGCTACCCGCCGTGGATCATATAAACCAGTTTATATGCAGTAACGCAGACGGCGGCGCGGGGCGGTCAGCTTAGTCCGCGCCACGCGCTTACGAACGTCCTGAACTGACCGCCTCTGCCCGTCGTGTGCTTTGTGTACGCGGCGCGGGCAGCCGCAGACATCGACGGGCAGACGCGGTTTTTATTGCTTCGCGGACAAAATGCCCGCCCCGCCCCGTCGTCTGCAAAACGCCTAAAAGCCCCTGCGAACACCTTCTCAGATGTTAAGTGCGGTACCACGAGATCCCCGTTGAGGGATTTCACCGTGTCTCCGCACCCGATACTTTAGATTCATAACCACCTACTAAAGTCCAATAAATAATGTAAAATTAAATCTCAAATGCATAACATAAAAACCGTGTTCGGAACCACACTTTCTTGATCGCGTCGCGCATGGCAACGCCGTTCCTCACTCGCGTGACATCATAATTCCCAACCAGGAAATAAAACACGGCTGCACCTTGAATTTGTCCAACTGACAGAATTTAAAGGTTCGCCGCGTAACCGAATGTGAAATGAAATCATCAATTTGCAAGCTCAAACTGAGCATTCAGGCGTTTAGTTTACTCAGTGCAAAAAGAGCCAGACTACTCATTTGCGTCAACATTTGGTCTCGGAGACAACTACGTTTGCGTCTGCGATTAGCAGTTACGTACGCGACAGACGCTGTCTGTAAGTACATGAGCGAGACGTTGAGATATCAACAGTGTGTTGGTTGACAAACCTAAAAGTGGCCATACACACTACGAGAGATCGTTACGATTAAACTGAAAAGGACAATGTTAAAATTGGCCTAAGAACCAACACCAATTTGGCATTTATGATAATTCTTAGTATATTTTTTGCGATAATTAACAGTATTTAGATTGTGACGGACACTTTCAGTTAAGTAAGCTAAATTAAAAAGTTAATAAATAATCTGAGACAATAAATATGTGTATAATCTATGACAGCGTTGCAAACAAAATACTCTTTCTTCCTAATGCCGGCACTTCGCTTGGCTATTCGTATTTGCTATTTAAAAACATGACATCAGTCTGTCCTTTTCATTCCTTATTAAGCATGACAAGGACAAACTGTTTTCAAGTGAAGGGCCGGCATAAACTCGATACTCTGTGGTTGTGGTGCAGGCAGTTTGCATTCGTAGTAATCTGTGGCATTCGTGCATTCTCGTCAAAGAGTACTTTTTATATACGGAAAAATGTCGTTTCTGATTACCTGTTGTGTGTGTTTATTTGCGATTGTTTTTCCTTTAATTTAACTTTTACTATTTCGGCTATCTAATATGCCATCAATGTTACCAAAAAGCAGAGACCTTATTACCAAGTGCTAGTGAACCTATGCCACAACATCCTGAGAGGCTCATACTGCCAAATTATTCAAGAGCACCTGATATACATTCACGCTGCATATTTACACAATATACATGTGTTAAACAAATAAATACAATATGATACAAATATGTGAAAAATAGCCAATAAATAATAAGAAGCAAAACTACAGTTTTTATTTTATTCATGATTCCTACCTAACCAAGTTTTTCCTAATAGCTATTCTTTAAAATCGCACCGAATAAAATGAATTAGTGGTAATATTAATTCACTTCAAACTGAGTTCATACTAAGTTCGTAGGTTGACCTATGTTTCATTGAATATTAAACATAACCTCAAAAAAATTTTAGTTTTCCTAATTATTTAAGTTCTCAGAAGTGTCCGTCGTTAATCATTGTTTTTACAGTCATTTACTTGCTATTTCGAACCTAGAAAATAATATTTCCTGATTGTTGGTTCTTAGGCTAACTATGTATGGACGCAGAACAATGTCCTTTCAATTGATTAATCGGAATCGGATGAACTGTGCCGACTGATCGTAACGTGTATGCGCTCGTTCAGTTTTGTATTCAGTTGCAGTTCGGGTAGACGTGCGCACGCGTCATGGCGTCTCAAACTAATCGCGAATGGCTAGAACAATTTCTTGAGTTATATCGCAGTGCACCTTGTCTTTGTAATACTAGAATAGAGAGTATCACAACCGAGACTTATAAAGTTCGGCGTTCTTTGCACCAGATGCAACGATTTTTTTTGTTTAACTTTATTTTCTTTCAGGGCGAATATTAATTCAACAACTGCTAAAACGTCGTCCGTCGAAGCCATCGCTGACACGTATGCGTCGGTACCGTTTACTGTACCGTCTGATCGTAACGATTTCTCGTAGCGTGTATGACTTATACGCCATGTACGATAAACTGTAACGCTCAAACTGTACAGTCTGATCGTAACAATTTCTCGTAGTGTGTATGGCCACAATACGGGTGCGGTCCAACGGCCTGTGGGGTCGCGGGCGCTGCCATCAAAGTGTACGAGATTACTATTTACCTCGTATCATGAATCTCAAACGTTAGAGTTCTCATATGTTTGGCAACACTGCGCGACGCGGCCGCGCCCGTGACAGCACAGGTCATCGGACCGCACCTTTATAGGTGAAAAAAAAAATACCATACGACCGCCACGCGATCATGCGAATGAGTCGCTGATTCGGTATTAAAGAGCTTTGTAGCTAGATATTGAAAGTTTGTTTATCGCATAATATGTAAATACGTTGCTATCAGTTTCAAATGAATTGTAAGTTAGCTAATAGGTCTCCACAATGCTCATATTCCTTCGTTGTGTCTTGACGTAAAGTGAATGAAAACTTACTACCTGTCATGAGTCTGGCAAGTAACAGAGCAGATGCAGTGTGTACTACGTATATTAGCAAATTTAGTGAGACAGGGTTTGTCTCCGATTCCAAATCGGTCAGTACTGGCGTTGGAAAACTGACTCGTGTTGTTTACGTCAGCGTTGCACCATCTCCAAATCAATTTACACTTGGCCAGTATCCGGTCAGCACTGATTTCAATCATAGTTGGAGTTCAGTAACGGACCCCGAGTAAATATACCTAAAATGTTCGCCATAGGACCGAATCTAAAACCATTAAAATGTCAACCTCCGCCGTCGTCGTGTATAAACATGTAATGTAAACTGAACCGGAACTGTTTCTGAAATTCATTCGCTGTTTGCGGAATTCGCGCACATGCCTAAATACATTCGAGTGAAACATCAATAAATACTACGGTAGCTATTCGATACAACATCTTACTACAATGTTATTGCCATTTTCTGCCATTTCTTCATCACTAATACTTTTGAAGTATATACACTACACTAAAATAGTGTATGTAGAGAGTTC